AAACAAATAAAGTTAACAATGTACACTATATATACACATATATCCCTATGGGAGTTGCAATATAGGTTGGTCAACATCCATAGGAGAAACAACCATTATGCATAACTGTTACAGAAGGAAATCACCCAAATATGGTGACTTTTACATCAGAAAAATCACCCAAACATGATAACATATCATACACATTATCACCACATGGAGGTTACCATAATGGGCATGAGGCACATACATACGGGTATGGGGTAAGGGCATTACAATTCTAAAGGAGAATCATGATCATGAAATATATAACATGGAGATACGATGGAGAAACTTCATTCCCTCTTAAGTAATGTCACCTACCATCCCCAAAAAGAATATCGTTCCAAAATTTCCAAATCTAATGTCCATAATGTTATTTCATCACGGCCTTCCCCCATTAATCCGATGTCAATGTCATTCCGCAAAATAATTAAAGAAAATGCAGTTCTTTCTGCATAAAGAGAATTATCAAGTTGACTATGGAAATACCCATGCGATGCAACAACATTGAATCTTTTGAAATAACAGACTTGATTGATGGCCCTAACAAGTGTGCATGCATAACTCGAACAATCCTTTTTGTTTCATCTCTACAATGTAGTTTTGTTTAAATTTAGTTTTCCATGGAAGAAAGTATCCCCCACATCCAATTCTCAAATCTATACTGAACTAGCCAAGGATATCCAGCACATATGATTCCAGCTTTCACCACCTGGCTGTGTACTTGAGTGACAGCCACAAACATTATTCACAAAAGGTCATCTAGTGATTCGTCTCACAAGATAATGATTGTAAAACTTCAATGGAGTTATACATGCCTTGTTCTCTAGTTAGGACGTGTGATGCTCAAAGTATTTCTTTGTAATGGACACCAAGCAATTTCTTGTTAGGGCTAGCAAGGGGGCGGGCCCAGGCCGAGTCACCCATGGCCCTAGCCCTACCCTAATCCCCATAGGGCCAGGCTCCACTCTACACGGACCAAGTCAAAGAGGCCCTGGCCCAAGCCCAAAACTGGCCCTATCAGGGCAAGGCCCAGCCGAGTCTGGGGTCGAGCCGGTCAGGGCTCAAGACCGGTCGACCCGTCCCTTCCCTTTAGCCTAGAGGGACCGGCCATCCAGCTACACTTTGTGGCTCAAGGCCTAGTTTCTTAGGGCCTGGCCAACCAGGCCATTGACACCTCTAGTTGTTTTAAAACTAGAGGAAATGAACGATGAGACATTTGATGTTACAAGTCCAATATTATGCCCAGCAAACTACGATGATCAATCGTATGGCATGCCATATCAAATAGAGGCGGTGCCTAGGTGAATCATAAGCAACAAATATCATTCCTCTTATACTCGACACTAGGCAAACACATCACAATCATGTTTATACCATAGTTGCCAAAATCAGGAGCGTGAACGATACCGGGATGGGGAGCGAGGGATTGTGAAATGCTAGACGATCCATATGGTTAGGAATGCCGTCTGCATAATGCACATGTTAGGGATTGAGATATCCAAATGTTAGGGTTAGAGATTCCAACTTTTTAGGGATCTTGATCCCAACTTTTTGAGGATCTTGCTACCAACCTTAAAAGTGTATGACAATCTAGGATTATGTATTCTCCCTAAAGTAGGGATCTCATTATTGATAGCAAGCAAGCAATGCAACTATATTACAAGTATAATTGTGTTGCTAGCTGGCTCTAAACAAAGAAAATCACCAGTTTGGTTGTTGTCTTGGTCTTTAACATTGGGATCGAGATCCCTAACAACACGAATTAGGATCCCTATTAATGGGGATCAAGATCTCAAAATTTAAAAATCGAGATCCTTGAGAGATCCGTGCCGGGAGCGACTGAATCAAGATCCTAAAAGGGATCGCCGACAAAAGCAAGAGATCCCAGTAACTATGATTCATACAAATCATGCAAATCATCTAGATAGTAAGGGATGATCCAATATAGAATTGTGCATCATCAATCGTAACATTCGTGACTTAGCATGTGTCAACCAAATCAGAAGAACAAAAGAAACATAGTATAATATTCAGAGCTCATTAATCATAATAGGATGGATAGAGTATGTGTTTTATGAGGGGGGTTGCACTATAGAGGTCACAACATCATTGAAGCAGACAACTACAGTGGACATATGAACATCGTTTGGTATGGGGATTATATGGTGTGTGATAATATGATCTCCCTCGGGACAAATGTTTGGGCAGATGCAAGTTGGTGGGTCATTTGCAAGTTGCCCATGGACATATCAAAGTATCCAACTAGAAAGGATGTTGTAGAGGGCATCTTAGGATGGTAGGCATTAGAAATGCACAAAGCATGACCGTAAAATAATAAGACACAAATGCCAACCACATGGGCCTATTCAATGTTCAAAAAGGTGTAGGTGGTTTGGGCTTTGGGCTGCTTAGGCGCCAAGTTATCCTTTGTTTTAAAAGTTGGATTCCCCACACCTCCCCCCATTTTATTATATATATTATATAATAATTATTTTTAGTTTACCAATAAATTAAGAATTATTATCACATGCAAAAAGTATTTTCAATAAATTAATAATTACAAATTAATACTATTTTTTTATTTACCAATAAATCAATAATTAATGTTAAATGCAAAAAGAATTTTCGACAAGTGGCATAAAAAGTCTAATCCTTCCATATATTAATTAAAACTGAATTAAAACTATTTTTTGGTTTACCAATAAATTAATAATTACAAATTAATATTCTTTTTCCTTTGCCAATAAATTAATAATTATTGTTATATGCCAAAAGCATTTTCAAGAAATCAATAATTGCGAATTAATATAATTTTTTTGGATTACCAATAAATTAATAATTAACTATCACATTTTTTTTTTTAATATGAATAATTACTATCACATTCAAAAAGCATTTTCAATAAATTAATAATTAAGAAATAATGTTATTTTTTGATTTACCAATAAATTAATATTTACTATCACATGCAAAAAGACAAGTGGAATAAAAAGTCTAATCATTCCATATATTCATTTGAATTAATACCATTTTTTGGTCTACCAATAAATTAGTAATTACAAATTAATACTATTTTATGATGCAGGTCAAGGTGGCGCCTAGGCCCCCTCCTTTTAGACCGCCTAAGCGGGCACCTACCAAAAGCCGCCTAGGACAGGCTGCCTATTCTACGACTAGGCCTTTTTCAAAAAAGGCCGCATAGGTGGCTAGGCGGCCGAATTTGGGCCGATTAAGTGGCGCATTGGGGACGAGGTTGCAAAAGGCCAAAAGATCCAGCCGCTACCCTCTAAATAAGAAAGAAGTTGCCTAAAATATATCATTATCTTTACGTTTCAGGATGACATGTTTTAGTTAAAAGCACAGAAGTGCCTAATGACTCAAGACTCCCCTAAGTCTATAGACTCACCAAGTCTAAGAAAGCCTCACCTGAATCTTTAAGACATAGATTAAGGAGATAACACTAAACATTATTGATGGCTTAAGAAGGAGATTCCATTATAGAATTTGCTAAGTAATTTAAATGAGATTCATGGTCCGTTGAACATTGACAGGACACCAAAGACCTTCAAGGGAAGCCAAAATGGTAGTTGACTCATGACTAAGATGGTGTAACTCCAAGGAAGAAATGGGCTAACAGGATTTTTATGCCATCCAATAGCTCTTTTTCTACTTTTTTTATGCAATTCTCAAGTTTAAAGAAATAGCAAACAAACTACAAAAGTTGAAAGCTTTATTCCATACAGGAATAGTTTCTTTCCTTGCAGATATTGATTACACTGCTTGAATTTTGTTCTCACCAAATCAAAGGCCCGATTTATATAGCATAAATCCAAATATTGTTAAATATGCATGCATGAATGTGTATAACAATAACATATAACCACAAGCATTCCCTGGTGGACTAATTTTTCTTTGTTTTAAGATAATTTCCTGGGTACCAATCAGTATTATCTCTCGCAAATAAGGGGGAAAATCTTGGCTAACATTTAGGTGTTTCAACCCACATGTACCATTTAATTATCAGTATCTAACTTCCCTTTGCAGAGGCATCCTTTGTAATTACTTTGATCTTAACAAAAAGGCTAAAATGAGTAAGGGACCTTGCCCCACTAACTTACCCAAGGACGAAAGTATATTATTTTGGAATTAGGATAATCTAGTAGGAAATAAGTCACCATATGATATATGATATGTTATTTGTATTCAGACAAGGACAAATAGGAAAGAGTATCAATATCATAAATCGCACAAAAACATGCAGTTCATCGTGTTTAAAAACTCCAAACACCATGCAACTTAAAGTTTCACTTTATTGCTTTTTAAGATATCCCCATTTTCACCATCTTGAGTTTTTAAGAAAGTCATATAAACCACTGGATACAACAACAAATTAAAAAAATAAATAAATATATAAATTGGACATATCCCATGGACCTGCGAGATTGTGAAAAGCAGTGTCCAAGTGAGTAAGTCCAAGGTGTGTTTGTGTCCAACAAGCTTTGGCCACATACACTTTGCCGAGTTAGAATGGTCTATTTACCACAATATATGTTGAGCATGCACATAAGATGAGGTAAATCACCTGTATATATTTTTTCACAATGTAATCCCAAAAGCAAAAGTTCATAATATTTCTTACTCTATACAGGCAATCTCACTATGTTTCATAAACCATAACAGAAGAAGCTGGATACAGAATGAGAATAAATTCTAACAAAAGAATGTTATATCTACAAAGAGAACAGAAGGCGCGATTAAGCAGACTTAACAGAAACTATTCGTTAAACAAATACAGTTCAACCGACAAATTGATAGGCAAAGGATGTTTACTACCATGAGAAATAAGCAACGAGGCTTAGTACTTCCAAATGTGGATCAAAACCAACCAGTCAAATTATAATAGCTGTAAAGTATGTCATACAGTAAGAATCAACCAAAACAAATAGATTTTTCAAACCAAAAGCAAGAGAATATACCTCTAATGCCCATTGGAGGACTTTAAGATAATGTAAATGATACCGATGAGATGGCAGAAGGAACGGGAATCTCCCGCTGTTTTGGTCTTGCTCTATAAGAATTGCTTCGAATTCTTTCCCATTCTTGACAATGAACTCCACAATTTTCTCTATGACATATTTTACAGATGATGGAGGCTCCATGATTAGAGATTCATCCTTGAGAAGACTGGACGACGAAGTTATGGGCTTGTTTGGCACAATGGTGATTGACATTTTAGCATCAAGTTCCTTTCTCTTACTGTACAATTCAGAAGCCGCAACTGCAGCAACAGAAGCGTGACTGCAGGCCAGAGGGACCTTTTCTTTCACTAAAGAGACAGAGGATAAATGGTTGGAACCAGCTTTGTCTAGGATATGCGATGAAGGTTGTGAATGAGTCCTATCGGCCACCTCAACTGAGGGAGCAGATTCTGCATCTCTAGGATCTAAGGCTGCATCGACCGATCCATCTTCATCTTCCCCAGAGCCATAGATGGAACCCAATAATGAGAGCCCCTCTCCCACAACACTGCATGATTGATTCTGCCCCATATCTGACTCCCCGTCATCTTGTTGAGGTATGGGTTTGTCCTTTGTGGGAACCATAAGTTCCGGATGGTCAACTAGATATCTAAAGTATGGATGAAGATTGTGATTGGGCATCAAGAAACCGAAGGTTGGATTGTTGCCCTGCTTCACCCTCAAGATAATCTCAGACTGCCCTCCACGTTCAGAGACAAAGAGAGCAGTCCTAGCAATAATCTGGTGAATCTTCTCTGTCGATGGCTGCAACAAAAAACCAAAAGAAACATCCCTCTCAGCCATAATGAATTTTAAGTGGTATATATCAGATAGTTCACTAATCATTTACAAACTTTTTTCTCTAATTAAAAATAGATGAATATAGCTCATGCTATTCACATAATCATTCCATTTCGGAAAACTGTCAAACCCCATGAAAACAGACATGATCACCCATTCCACAGGAAAACTGTGGGCACCTCACATTTCTTCCTTCTGTAAAACAGTATGTACTAGATATCTAGGCCCACCTGCAAATTCCTCTAGTCATGATTCACCAAAAAGAAACAAGGCAACCATGAGACCGACTACTCGATCCCTGCTCCGAGTATCTGAAACTTAGACAAGGTAAGCCTTAGAATAAAAATGCACCACGACTATCACAAGTAGAGGGGAACAGGTATATGATGCTATAGTCACAACCAACAAATAACCATACACTTCCAATGCAAGAACAGCAATTGGTAAAGTCAGATGAATGCTCAAGTGTACTTACGAGGTGGTTCACTAATGTTTCAGGCATTGGAAAAGGTGGACAGAAATTAGACTTTCCGAATCGCTCCTCAGAGTTCCTAGGGTCGCTGGAGGCCTCAGTATTCCCATATGAAAATGGAACAGCCTGATAAGACCCACTCGCCATTTCAGCTCCTCTACCCCCTCCTGCATGAAAGGAAGAGTACAACTAAAGTGTTAATTTTTAGTTACCTCCAATGAAGCATAGAAGTTACAGTACATGGAATCACAACTGCAGAGGAGAAGTGGTCTAATGTGCAAAAGAATAAACATTGGGATTACAGGTTAAAGCTTCTTACTTGTTGGCACCACAGATGTGAATGAAGTAAATAGACATCCTCCCTGCAAACTTTAAAATCCATTGAAAAAGCAAATAAGAAACTAATTACTTTTCACTAAGTCTAATTGCCCGGTACTATATCTACTGTAACCACTTGGCCCAGAATCATAAACTGTTTCCACTAAGGATAAGTCTGGAAGAAGAACTTCCAAATTCTCAATTAGTCGTATACCCCGACGTCAAAGGAATAAGGATACAAGGTTGAAAAGAAAGACAAATATGGAAACAGTAATAAGAATGGTGAAAACTGCTAACTAGATCAAGTTTCTGCCTAATTCTTGCTGTTAAGCAACACGAGAAACTAAAGGATGCCACACAGAAAAACCTCATCTTTAATAAAGAGTAACAGGCATTAGGTCAAAGTCACATAGATATGTAATATCTAGTCACTATGTGAAAGAATAGAAACAATTTTTGTACCCAAGAAAATAGTGACCAAAGCGATGGCACAGGACTAAGAAGTGATAGCATGGAATCTCCATAGTAGGGCAAAGGAAGAAAGTTTTTAGATTAAACTATTCAATAACCATCAAGAAAAAATGTTCAAGAGGGAAAAAGAAAAAATCAAAATTTTCTCACATCCAGTTGAAAGTATATTATTAGGATAATTTTATGCATGTCTCTCACACCAGTTGAAAGTACATTATTAGCATAATTTTATCCAAAACAAAATTCTCTCAGCATGATCCATTGAACAAGAGGCAGTTAACTATGAAACAAGAAAAAATAACCAAGTCACTCAATTATTATTAGCGTGTATTATCAAATATATATTTAGCATAACCCGTAGATAAAACACAGCTAAAACCAATGAAAAAAACAAAACCCATATTGAAAAGAACCAACACGTACTTAGAACTGTCATAAGTCCCAACAATGAAAATGACCCTAAAAAAAAAGTTAAAAGTAAAATAAGTAAAAATGAAAAAAAGTACGAATATAGGAATTGATTGCAAAAGGGCAAAAAAATCAACCCTAAAAACCCAACCCATAATGAAAATAAAGATAAATAGAGAGGAGGAAATAGAGATAAGAGTATAAAAAATTTAAAAATAAAACCAAAATTCAAAAAAAAAAAAATTGCAAAATGATAAAGATAAACAATTACTAAGATAGTAAACAATCGACAGATATGAGGGACAATTAGCAGAAAAACAGAGAGAGAGCAGATATAGATAGACAGATAGAGAAAGAGAGGGAGGGGTTGGTGATCACATGAGCTAACCTTCAGGGTCATCGGATTTTCTCAAATCGCGGAACCGCTCGAAGTCGAGATCTGATTCGGAAACAGCATCAGGAGATTTACTGGATGGTAGCTTCTGCTTCTTCCTCAGAGAAGAGAGATCAGAGAGGAGGTGGCGGACGTCATAGCGGTCGATAGAGAGGTGTGAGTCACCATTCCATGGCACAAGAGCGTCAGATGAATCCACAAATTGGGAGGTCGAATCATCGTCGAAGAGGAAAGCGTGGCGGCCAGCCACCTCCAAATCCACTGATTCGCAGAAATCTGAACCCATGAGGTCCGGCGAGATGCCCCGCCACTTCTCTCCATCTCTGCTCGGAAAAGCCATGATTTTAGTTCTCAGCGACCTGCTGTGGATGAGATCAGATTAGATGAGACGCGAGGACGGGCCTCCTTCCTCTTTTTATTTTAACTGGTGTTGGCAAAATCGAATCGGAACAAATTGGGCTTGGAGGGGTTAGAACCCGAACCTGACTAACCGATTTGACAGATATTATTAAAAAAAACAAAAAGAGGTTAAAAATCTTAAAAAAAAATTTAAAACAATTGTAGTAGTGGCACCTTTTCAAGTTCGCCCTGCTAAAAATGGGTTATTGGATAGATTAACCAAGATTTCTCTAGTATATTTTAATATTAATGACCCAATTCTTATGGGCAAGTGTGAGGGATGATTTGAAATTAAGATCACTTTTATAAAACTCTTTCTCTCTTTTTTAGAAGTACTCTCCCAAAAATTCATATTACTAGATAGATTTGAAACCAATCGAGATAACTTACAATGATAAAAGATCTTTATAAGAGACATTTAGAAGAAGAGCATAAGCTTGCAAGTTAGAGAAACTGTGTGAAAACTGCAAAGCATGGTTCTAGGGCAAAATTAGAGATCTAAATGTCAGGTTTTGGGTATCTTTAAAAATTTTGGGAAGAAGATTAGAACAATCGGGGTCCAAGTATGTTAATTGTTTGCTTCAACAGTCAACCTACATATTTTTTTGCTATAAAATATATTTTTGCCCAATTTTCATAACATTTTAAAAACTTTGATAGAAAAATGAATATATATATATATATATATATATATATATATATATATATATATATATATATATATATATATATATATATATATATATATATATATATATATATATATATATATATATATATATATATATATATATATATATATATA